CCCCAAAACCCCAAAACCCCAAAACCCCAAGTACAATTCGTGTAAAGTATAAAAGCAATTATCTTTATTAAGCATTAATATATAGAAAATCAATAAAGGTGTAGCAATCTAAGACATTTATAGCCAACTTTATAGATGGTGATATATTGCTTTTTCCAATTATCATTCATTGCATAAAGCGAAGTAGTGATTCCTAAGATCCTCAAGAATAGTATCATAAATATCATCTGAATAGCAGTTAAAGAACATTGAATTCATTGTCAAGTGAGGTATCAGAGTGTCTCGAGTAATCTCATCCTAAATCTCACAGTCGCCAAATGATTATTAATTTGGATGAAACATTTAGAATACCTTTTCAAGCTCTTCAAGTTAAAGAGTAACAGGATCATTTTCACTCTCAATTTATTACTGATGCTCTTAGTTGTATTAATTGACGAGATTGGTATAGTTCTAGGATCCTTAATTATAAACCTGACTACTCATTTGAGGCTGCTAGAATTGCTTATCATAGTTTTGCATTTTAAATGTTCCCTAATTACCTCCCATAAACATTAAGTCTTGTTGCTACTATTAGTAATGCTCCTATGATCTATTCAAATCTTGAGGATTCAGACTGATTTCATCGTCATTAATAATTCTAGCTGGCTAGATCACCATTTGCTTCGAATGGTTTTGAATGATAGCACTACCTCCACCAACGGTAATTTAGTTATTAATTTTATTATTAACAGGCCAGAGTTATTGAGTATGCGATTTTTGCAAAGGCATATTGTAGTAATCCTATTAGATTTGTTCATACTATTCATTTTCATCAGGGATGCTTTCAATTTCAATAGTATCATCATCTAATTCATGCTGCTAGATTTATTAATTAAATTGAGGCATTTACTGTTGATTAAGCCTTACACCAGATTTCTAGTTCATTAAGTTTAACTAGTTTTATTGAATCATATTAATAGAATGAATGGGTACTTAAGAGAATGTACTATGGATCAATGGCTCATTGACAGCTTTTATTTAGGTAATATTAGGTTACTGCTACTGTTATTAAACTTAGATCTACTTTTGCTGCAAAAGCTGTATTTATGATATCTGTATTTAATGAATTTAAGGTTAATTAGTCGATACTGTGTTGACCACTTGCTGCTACGATAACTTCTTCATTGGCTGTATTCTAGTTTCTTCTATTTTTTGTAACTACAAAGCTTATTGCTGCTGTTAGTTTTGCAGCTAGATTTATTACTATTTAGACTTTAAATTGTTCTCTTATTTAGGAGATCTGAGGGCTGAAGTTTTTCTTCTAGTTTAACTTTAACCATTTGATCTTTACTCAGGCCCTTTATTAGTCCAGCAATCAATTCTTGATTTAACTTTCCAATCACATTTTTGAAATTTCACTGCTTAAGTCTTTCTTTTCAAGAAATTCTTTGGAGCATTGGACTTATCTTAATTTGTATTGGTCTATGACTGATCCTATGTGGTAGCAGACTCATCATACTGATACTATTGAGTCTCAACTTTCTCCTATTTCTCCTTCTCAGCCTACTTCTAAGTTTTTCTTTTGGGCTATTTTTAATTATTTTCTTGCGGTGATACATCTTCATCTTCATTTGTTCTGGGTTTGCTAGTTTATGGCCTTATTCTATCCTCAATTATCTTAGCAGGTTAGAGCATTCCTTCTGGAAAGGCACTTTTATTTGGTTTCTGGTCATCATTTTCTTGCTTTTTCTTTGCTTCTTCAATTGCTTTACGCGGATCATATTTTTGCCTCTTTTTTAGATTCTCTTTCTTTTCAACTTTCTTCTTAGGCTATGTTTAGTTGTCCTGATCCAAAAGCTCATCTTCGTCATCCTCATGAGGTCTAACTGTTTTAGATCTCTTTTGAAGTTTGCTCTGTCTTACAGTCTTAGTCATTTCTAGTTGCTCCCCTTATTCTAGCATAGCTTTTTCAAGCATTTCTTCAAAATTATACTTTGGTGGTATTATCTAACTATCATTTTGGTTGTTAGTATCATAGTTATTTTTATTGCTAATATAAGACCTTTCAACAGTTTTTATAGGTCTTTCTTCATTTGAAAATTCTTGATCATCAAATACAGGCAATTTCTTCATTGGCTTAATTGGAATTTCGTCTATATTAGTAGTTGATTGATTTTTACCCTGTTTCAAGGGCATTTCTTCAATACTATAAGGATTGGCTTTTCTAGGCTTGATTGGTATATCATCTATATTGACCATTGACTTTTACTGCTGCTTTTATGATTAATTTTTGCTGTAATTGCTATCGTCATTCTCCCTATTGTATTCATTCTCCTGGTCATCATCATATTGATATTTATTTTGCTGATTTCTATTATTCACTGGCTTGCTTTCTCTTACATTTTAAGAGTTTTACTTCCTGTATCCATTACTAATTTCATAAAAATCCTCCTCTTCATCCTCATAAAACTAATTTCTCTGCTGCTGAATATCATAGTCACTCTCTACACCCCTAAAATCTTCTTAAAATTTCTTTTTTATTGGTGATCTAACTGGTTACTTCCTGTTTGACAAATGACCACTGCTTTGATTATTGCTAAAATCGAAACTCTCATGATTCTGCTAGTTTTAATTTGCATTCATATAATTGTTTATTTATGGTTTTGTTCCCCAACCTTGTCTTTCTTAAATTTGATTATTTTCAATTTCTTATCTGAATTATAACCTATTTTATGAAGGCTTGATTGAATTGTGATCAAGAGCTTAAAGCTTATCTGCCACTGCTGTTCTTTAAGAAAAAGGAAGATCAAAGGCTCCTTAAGATCTGTCAGAAAATATATCTTCTTGTATTTTGGATGTTGTCTAAAAAGGATTTTATCTCTGAGAAGGCCATAGAACTACACTTGAATCTACAGATTCCTGACTCCTTTGTGAAGGCCAAGCAACAATTACTTATTCTTGCTATGGTTGCATCTGCTTTTGATTTTATTTGATTTTATTAATGTCATTGCTGAAATCGATGATTCTCTTCTCAACTGCGTTTGAGTTATCATTGTAATTTACTCTTGATCTTTGAGTTTGAAGTGGAGATTTATCATATTTTTGTTAGTTAGAGAATTAATACTGTGGTTACTATTACTGATATTTTTAATCCTTATGATATAACTATTCCTCATTATTCTCATTCCTCTTATTCAGTTTACCTTCAATATTTTCAATTTAGTTAAAGTATTAACTCTTAGTTCCTTTATTACTGAAATTCTAGTTGTTATTCCCGTAGCCTATTTGACTCTATGAATAAATAGATTGCATCAAGAAATCTGATTTCTTTTGTGCTACTTTCAATTTCTTTTGCAGTGAAAATATCCATCTTCCTTTTTTGTACAGATTTGGCACAACCCTACAAAGTTCCTCTATTTTCTTCTTCCTCTACTGCATTATTTGAATATTTTTAGGGTCTTTAGGTCCTTTAGTCTGGCCAAACATTTGTTTAATTTCAACCAAATCTCTTTTAATAGCGATTACTTCTCTACATCCTGTGAGAATTCTTCTAATTTTCCAACCTTATACCACAGCATTCATCACTCTTCTTCTTTTGTATTTCATTAGGAGATTTTGAATGAAGTATCTCCTGGTGTAGTAACCTTTCCAGACCTTTTAGATGAAAAGCACACAGTGCTCCAAGTACTTTTAAAACAGATCACTATCCATTTTGAATATTAACTTCAATTAGAATTATATATTTATGAAATTTTAAAATTCTTCACTGATTACTCAATCTCATGGGGTTTTGGGGTTTTGGGGTTTTGGGGTTTTGGGG